CCCACACCCACACCCACACCCCACCCACACCCAAAACAATTATCTTGTCGGAATCAAGAATATCTCGACTTACTTTCGAGACTTTTTAATAAATGATGTAATTTTATACTTTGATATACTTCTATAGGTTCTCTTAATGACATTTCAATGTATGTATTTCATGAAAGGATATAAATTTACTAGCAAAGATTTAGACATTTACTTGACATTTGCAAAACATAATTGTACGACACTTCCGCGCCTCCAAATTTTTTCTATAAGTCGACGTCGTCAAACCGCTTTCTTTACTCTTCTAAGTGCGGACTATTTGAGGCATATGAAGCTCACTTTTACCCTCATCCTCCTACTCAGGATGCGCGTAAGTGTCGTGCGCGCAAATGTCGTGTCATGGCAAAATGTATGAAAGAGAATACATTGAAATTCGAAGCTTTTCATTCGATGGATTCAACCAATAAATAATACTCTGAATTGAGACATAAACTTGTGACTAAACATTGTTGCAAACATTACTTCTGGACCTGTAACTTTTTCGTTTCGAAACATTTGCATAATAAAATCGAAAGATACTACATTTGAATAAAACAAACCAATCTTTTTATGAATTCCGTATTGTAATAAATTGTCTAAACAAGAGTGTTTTGGAAAAAAAACAAACTACACAGGTTCAAAAAGAATTTTCTAAATATGATTATTGTTGTTGAAGCAATGATTCTAATGAAACTATAGCTGTATGATGGCAAAAGAGAGTTCTTGTGCATTGCTACATTGTGTATTGAACTGAAAATCTATCGGCCAGGCAAAGTTTTAGTTTCTACTACGAACTATGAGTCAAATATATTCATTATGCATCATCAACCCATGCCATGATATGTTAGTAAAACTTGACTTTGTTATAGCGCAAAAAGTATATCTCTATGAAATACTTTTATTTTAATTGTTCTTCAAAAACATTTCAAAAGTATGAACGCACAAAAGTCGAATAGATTAATCATCATCAAAGTCGCCATCATCGTCGTCATCATCTTGATTATTGACTTTTTCGCACTCTCGAAGATCTATTTGAATATAATGTTCCGAAACTTCTCGTATAGCTGTAATTGTAAAAGCTGAATATGGTCCTACTAACACTTCTCTTTCATGTTTATATTCTGATATTTCTTCAATATTCAAGCCAGTTCGATCATTAATTATTTCATATGTACAAAGAATAGCAAATTTTATATTTTCATCGTTTTGTGTTTTACGATGAGTTAAATTTTTTGTCGCGAACTCTTCAGCAACTTTTCGATCTTTGGTTGTTGACATGAATGCTTTATTCATAATTTTTCCTCCAACACTGTACTGCTTAAGATCATCATGAGTCGTACATATACCACGATAGACTTTTCCTTTGTAGGAGAGCTTATAAAAAGCTGGGTGATTATAGAAGAAGTCAATAAAATAGGTTAAACCAAAATTAGTACCTCCATCATAATGAGTTGTTGCCAAATCTCTATTCAATTTCTTATAAAAGTTAGACTCGACGGTATAAGCTTTCAAAATACTGAAAGGATTTTCGTACGCTTGATTAATAAATCGGCTAATTTCATTATGATCCGTATGAGACATTTCGGCTTTGATATGCTGCAAACGAAGTTCAATATTTTTTGTTTTCCATCCAAATCCACTATGACGATATCGGTAATCACTTGCAAGAGATTCAGCTCCAGCATCACATTTTATCCAATCGATATGACCTGATCCATCGTCACCGAATCTATTGGATGCCGTTCGACGTAGAAATAATTGCTTAATCTCTTCGGTTTTCGCCTCATCATATGGTACACATTTATACACATTCTCTATTGAACGACTGGCACCTTTTTCTAATAATAGCTTGACAATTTCCGTATGACCATAGAAACTCGCTACATGAAGGGCTGAAGAACCATTCGCTTCAGTTTGATCGATTTCTTCTAAAGACATCTTGGGTAATTGTTCACGAACTTGATCGATTAGTCCGTCACGACATGCTTTATAAAAATCACTTGGTGGTGATTTTGATGGAATAGAAGTCATGATTTACTCTTGTCTCTAAAACTGAAAAACTTTAAGTCTGATTAACATGTGATTTTGATTGGATGAATCAAACATTTATCAATATACGAAGCGAATATTTACGAGGGAACACCACGAACTGATAAATTGCTTTTTAAATTTTAGTGTTGCCAATTTGTAGAGCTTGTTGAGTTATTAACTAATATAATAATCATTCGGGCCAACAAAGCGTTTTAAGAGTAAATCTATATATGTAATATTCAATGCCTATGTGTCTGTGTGGAGTCAAAGGTCAAAGATCAACAAGAGTGGGGAG